TATATTTTTCTTGTTATATTTAATGTGTCACTGTTTTTCCTAAACAAAGGAAATAAATTTATAGTAGATCTAAAGACTCTACTCCATTACTCATGCATTATAAAGTTTTTCCATTCTGACAGGTGTAAATACAAACTAATCTCTGTGAATAGTGCAAGTATGTTAATATATTGCCCTCCAGTGAGTCTTTCCTTTTTCTCACATAATTTCTTCTCACACATGTGCAGATTAGTTTTTAGTCAAAAAGCCAAGGAGAATCTTTTTAGATCTCTCAAATTCTTTATGAAAATATCTCTCATAAGATAGACTCCTTCTCAAATTCTAGCTACCATGCCTTTCCCAAACAATAATCTTTATCATGTATATCAGTGAGATCCTTGGTTCTCTTTGGATTACCACTCCCTGCCCTGAACCCAAAAACTCTTGAAGTAGTATGCTCAGACATTCACAATACTCAGATAATTTTTCTTCTCATGGTTATCACAGTGCTACTGTCTAAGACCAGAAGAAAGTAAGTGCATTTCTTCTGACAAAATCATAGCCATACATATAAATCCTGGCATAATCTCTGTGTATGTGTGTGTGTTATATTCATCAAATGTTTTAATGTATTCAAAAATAATGATCAATATTTTTTGAGCCAAGCACTTTTCTAAAACTTCATATATAGAAACACTTTTGGTACTCCCAATATCCCCATGAAATAAACACTATTTTCCTTTCTCTTTTTCTCTTTTTCTCTTTCTTTTTCTTTCTTTCTTTCTTTCTTTCTTTCTTTTTCTTTCTTTCTTTCTCTTTCTTTCTTAGTTTCTTTCTTTCTTTCTTTCTCTTTCTTTCTTAGTTTCTTTCTTTCTTTCTCTCTCTTAGTTTCTTTCTCTCTCTCTTTCTTTCTTCCTCTTTCTTTCTTTCTCTCTCTCTCTTAGTTTCTTTCTCTCTCTTTCTTTCTTTCTCTTTCTTTCTTTCTCTCTCTTAGTTTCTTTCTCTCTCTCTTTCTTTCTTCCTCTTTCTTTCTTTCTTCCTTTCTTCCTTTCTTTCTCTCTTTCTCTCTTTCTCTCTTTCTCACTCTCTCTTTCTCTTTTCTTCGTCCCAATCTCTTCCTTCCTCCCTTCCTCCTGTGTGTTACACTCCCTGAATGGGAAAATGCACCTTTTACCAAAGAATGAAAAAATACTAAAATATTGAAAACCATAGGTTGACACACAGCGTGAGAGTTTTGCCAATGTAGAAACCAGGCTCCTGGTCTCTGAATTTACTTCGTAATGGGTGTCATTGAACGTATTATTAGCCGAAAGCAAGTAATGAGTTTTTCTCATCCTGCAAAAAACGTGGCTTTATACGAATTGTGAGTGGGAAAGAAGAATGACAGATTTACTTAAAATTTTCCTTACTGTTGAGTATTCTCTGTTATATTTTATCATAATGACATTGACAGAGTCATTGAATATCAGGCAGTTTGGAGGACGTTTGGGGATTTATGTGAATTTTTTTAGGAGTCTGTCAGGTATGTGGGGGCCACAGGTGATAACGTCAGAGTCAACATATTCAACGTTTTCCAGAGGAGTCAGTAAAACAAAACAATGACAAAATTGCTATCTTCAGTTTTCATTGTTATATGTAAATTAGGGAAAACATAGAGTAGAATCACAGAGGTTCTGGGGCACCTGGGGGCTCAGTCGGTTAAGCGTCCGACTTCGGCTCAGGTCATGATCTCGCGGTGCGTGGGTTCGAGCCCCGCGTCGGGCTCTGTGCTGACAGCTCGGAGCCTGGAGCTGTTTCAGATTCTGTCTCCCCCTCTCTCTGCCCCTCCCCCACTCATACTCTATCTCTGTCTCTCTCATAAATAAACATTAAAAAATTTAAATAAAGAATCACAGAGGTTCTGTTCTCAATCCGCGTCTCTGGGTGAGAACCTCAGAATCTTGCGTGATGAATCAAGAGCTTGTGATACCTTCTGGAATGACTTCCTATCAGTGCAGCTCACCCTGGAGACAGGATGATGTCATGCCCCTTGGGGACACTTGTCTGGGAATAACTTTGATTGTCGTACGTGGGTGGGGGTTCTCGAGGCAGGTGGCCGGTGGAGACCAGAGACACCGCCCCTCCCTCACACCCGAGGGCCGTCCAGCCCCGGATGATGCTCTCAGCACAGGGCGGAGAAGGACGCAGATGCTCGAGTGAAAACCAGACCCGCCTTCACGTTTCCTCCACGTGAAGCACGATATGCTGACCTTTGCCCGGTTCCGCCCGGGCTGGAAATACATACCGGCATTTCCTTGGCTGGTGTCAGTGGCTAGAAGGTTTTTTGTTAGTGGATCTTAATTAGAGAGAGAAGGTTGTAGTTCGTGGAGAGGCTGCAGTTGACTTTATGGGGTGACCCTAAGCTACACCCCCAGACCCGGAACTCAGTGGATCCGCCGAACAGTGGGGCCACCGTGTTATTACCGCCCGTCATCTGGAGCGTGAGCAGGTCACATGCAGGTAGAGTCTCCGTGCTCCTGGAGGAAAGGTCCCCTCCAAGTAATTACCGTTTTGACGTCGGCGGGGGGTTGGAGGATGCCTCACGGGATGACACAGCTTTACCATCGAAGAATCCCCAAAGATCAATGAGATCCTCTTTAAAAAAAACAGCACCGAATTCTGCACTATGAATAGATGCCAAATGCATCACCCATTTCAGGGCAACATGAGTTCAGCTGCCTTCAGCTGCACGTACTTAACAGCAACGTTGCAATGAACGCCCTGGCTCCTGCGTTTTGCACGCTGGCCGGGCTTGTGTCCGGGGTGAGAAACCCAGGCGGTGTGTCATAGCTTGCGATATTTTTTTAATCGAATATTTAACGGCGACAAACCCTCATGGAAACTTTCACCGGCAATGGAATCTCCTGCTATTGAGCCTGGAGAAATCGCTAGAGTTTTGATGGCTTCACAACTGGGTGACGCTTATTTATTTTTTACTTCTTATTTGTTTATGTCTTTATTTTGTTTTGAGAGAGAGACAGAGAGCGAGCGGGGGAGGGGCAGAGGAAGAGAGAGAGGGAGACACAGACTCTGAAACAGGCTCCAGGCTCTGAGCTGTCAGTCAGCACAGAGCCCGACGCGGGGCTCGAACCCACGAACCGTGAGATACGACCTCAGCTGAAGTTGGACGCTTCACCGACTGAGCCACCCAGGCGCCCCAACCTGGTGACGTTTAAAACTCACCTTTCCCGGTCTTCAAGGAGGCGAAGCCTAGAGTGATGTGCTGATGAATCGTGTCTGTCTGCTGGGAATGGCTTGTGGACCGCCGGACGCTGATTAGTCCATGGCGTCTTTATCTCTTGTCCAATCGATTCATGGGAAGTAGTGCAAATATTGTCTCCTTCTCTGGACGTGCCTGTTTTGCTTTGCTCGTGGGGTCTGTTGGCGCAGAGAAGTTGTCTGGTCCCCACCCCCCCATTCTGCCAATTACTTACAATTCTCTCCCCTGGCCGCTGTAGCAAGTTGTCACAAACTAGGGATGTGCAGTGACAAATGCATGATCCCACATGGAGGCCAGAGTCTGAGATCCTGGGGGGGCGGGCCTGAGCTCCCTCCTGAGGCCCCAGGGGAGGGTCCTTCCCGCCTCTCCCAGCTCCTGGGGCCCCAGGGTCCCCGGGCTCGTGGCCGCGTCCCCCCGTCTCTGCCTCCGTCTTCACGTGGCTTCTCCTCAGTGTCTGCGTCTCCTCCTCCGTCCCTTACAAGGACACGTGTCGTTGGATTCGGGGCCCCCCTCGCCCGGGATGAGCTCATCTCAGATCCTTCCCTTACATCCACAAAGACCCAATTCCCAAATAAGGTCTCATTCCCAGGTTCTTCCTTACCTGATCACCTCTCTCTCACTAGGGTGTCCATGACTGATAAGCTTGCAATTTCCGGGTCATTGGGAGTTAACCTCTAAAGGCGAAAACATGAACATCTGGAATTTTAAATACTTTTTTCCAGATTTGTTGAGATGGAATTGACATAGAACATTGTGTACATTTGAGACGTACAATGTGATGACTGGTTACCTGTGTCTACCGCAAAGTGATACCGAAAATAGATTAGCTAACACTTCAGCCACCTCACACGGTTACATTTTCTTCGCCGTCGTTTTAGAAGGTCCCCCCCACCATCCAGGGGCACCGTTTTGTTAAGTTTTGCTTCTCTGCTTCTCACTCTCTCTCCGAGGGAATGTAGCCTCTGCACACGCATTTTGCACAGTGCTGTTCCATCCATTTGGGGACAGACCCGTTAATAACAGGATCTTTTATACCAGCATTGGGAGGGGCTTCTCACTTAGGTAGATAACTGTGAACATGTCTGGAAACATTATTTATGCTCATTTTATTTTATTTTTGAGAAAGAGAGACAGAGCACGAGCGGGGGAGGGGCAGAGAGAGGGAGACACAGAATGTGACGCAGGCTCCAGGCTCCGTGAAGTTAACTTTTATTTCCATCTGTTTTGCAAGTTACTCCTTGCCGGTTAGGAAGAACTTTGCACAGGTGAGTAGGAGCATCCATTGCGACTCGTACCGGTGTTGGATTGGAGACTCCCGGAGGTAGGAAATGAAACGGAGGGGGCTTCTTTCTCCCAGCCCTTGGGAAAGTCTTGATGTCTTCTGTGTGCTTTTACTGGGAATGAATTCTGGAAATGACTCGAAATGCAATGGAATGCCACGTAATGTGTTCGGCGGTGGGGTTGGACAGAGGGTGGCTTTTCAAGAAGTCCCCATGGGATCAAGTTGAATGTCCAAGTATTGATTGGAGGCCAGGGGGCAGATAAAATGGGCCCCCGCTGAAAGGTGGGGCGTAGGCTTCGCCAAATGCCCCAGGAGACTCAGCTTCTAGAAATGACCCATTTGAGAGTCTCACTGGAGATCTAAGGTGAGAAGGTTGAAACTGGACACACCACACACACACACACACACACACACACACACACATACGTGCGATAGAGGGGCAGAGACCACCAAATGGCACACCTCCAATTCACCAGCCTTCGTGGAAATCTTCCAAACTCTCTGACTGCACCCCCTTCTCCCATAAAACACAAGCGTCCTCAACCCTTCGAGGGAACCGGGGTGATATTTTAAGGAGCCAATGGGAACACGTGTGTGGAAATGCGTTGGGAAAGAGGAAGCCCTTTGAACTCCACGGCGGTGTCATTAACCGTGATTATATATCATTTTCCTTGTGGGTGCCCGTCAGCCTACAGAATCTCACTCACCTGGAGTCGTCTGAGGGTCTTTGGCGGGGGCGGGGGGACATAGGACTCTAGCCCTGTTTCGACTCTTACAAGAGGTTTGTAATTACAGCGGCTAAACGCGGCTTCTCTGCTCAATGAGTTTGGCCAACGCGGCCATGAGTTCACGGTGTGCATCCCTGTGCTGTTTAAGGGAGATGTTGACTATGCACCTTGGGTAGAAAAATGTTCTTTTTTTTTTTTTTTAATATTTATTTGTTTTCGAGACGGCACGAGCCGGGGGAGGGACAGAGAGGGATGGAGACAGAGGGTCGGAAGCAGGCTCTGTGCTGACGGCAGTGAGCTCTGCACGGGGCTCAAGCTCACGAACCGTGAGATCATGAGCTGAGCGCAAGTTGGATGCTCAACCGACTGAGCCCCCCAGGGACCCCGAAAAATGTTCTTTCTAGCAGAGTACCGCATGTGCCGTACACCTGATACAAGTGGTTATTGAATGCATAGCCATTGGGTGACGACTTGTCTATTCCAGTGACTGAAGGGTTTTTGTGGCCAGACCCACGTAACTTGTCTGCAATCTGCCATGACAAGTGTCCAGACACGCGTGGGTCACGCACGGCGTTGGTCACATTGTCTTGGACGAACACGACTTGTGTGCACTTTGGTAAAGAGAGCCGGGCGGGGGGTGGGGGGAGGTGACCGCCTTCTCACGCGGGCTTGTCTGCCCCTGAGAAGAACGTCGATGGTGCATCTGGTCCGTTCCTTCTTTCCGTCCCCAGGGTGGAGCGCACGCAGCCATGACGCGGCCATTCTGCAGCCGGTAAGTAGGCGGCGCCGTTGCCCTCTGTATCCAGACAGGACGGCTCCACGTCCCAGCCTCGTTCACCGCGGCTGATGTGACCTGTGCTTCGTCTGCGTGACACGTGACAAGGGTTGGGAAGGGTGTGACGGGGCTCTGGGCAGATGGATTCCTATAGGATGGCTTTTCCGAGGAAACTTTACCGTAAGGATGACAGCGCGGAGGTGGGGATTGTCCAAGGGCCACCCACAGTCAAGATGGTGGCAGGGGTTTTAAGGACGCCCGTGGATGAGCCGAGGGTTGGGGGTGGGTGTAGACGGGAAGCCATTGGACTTCTCTAGGGAGCACGGCAAGCGGATGTGTCGCTCAAGCGGCAAAAATGGGAAGCGCCAGCCTGGCCACTGGGGAGGGTTGTGAGACCTCTGAGTGACGGACGCCATGATTGCCGTGACTTGACTGCACTGAGCATGGACGGAGGAAATGGATTTGAGATGCTCTTTCTTGAGGTGAAAGTAATGCAAGCATCGGCGTAATCTCTAGGGTTTAGGAGCCCGTTTCCTGCACGAGAGAAGGGTCCTTGGCTTGTAGGGACTTCAGTCCAAGGCTCTGTGCTTTTCTCTGCACAGGGTGGCATTTAGCACGTACAGATGGGTGATTCTACAGCCTCAGACTGTGCAGAATCTACAAATGGGTTACACTTCCCTTTTCAGGTGTTAGAAGGATTCCCAATGGTATTTTGAGTATATATTTTAATATTGTCTTTTAACAAAATTTTTTAATGTTTTTTTAAAAAGTTATTTCTGGGAGAGAGAGAGAGAGACAGCGTGAGCAGGGGAGGGTCAGAGAGAGAGGGAGACACAGAGTCTGAAGCAGCTCCAGGCTCCGAGCTGTCAGCACAGAGCCCGACGCGGGTCTCGAACCCATGAACCGTGAGATCATGACCTGAGCCGAAGTCGGGTTTAACCGACTGAGCCCCCCAGGCGCCCCCATATTTTCATATTTTGAAAAGTACAAGTGAACATCAGTACAAGTTTACTAGCTGGTGATTAGGCTCTGATTTTACATTTTGGTTTTTTATTCAAATAAATCAAATTATTAGGCCTTCCACTCATACGCTATTCTTTTTTTTTTTTTAGTTTTATTTATTTATTTAAGAGATACAGAGACAGAGACACAAGAGTGGGGCGCGCAGCAGACAGAGCCACCCAGGCGCCCTCCACTATTCGATTTTTTCAGGGCAAATTCTGTGTCTCCCTCTCTCTCTCCCCCGCCCCCACTCATGCTCTGTCTCCACCCCCCCTTTCAAAAATAAATGAGTGTTGAAAAACATTACTTTGAAGAAGAAAACTTCTGGTTTCCGAGCAAGCCCGCTGAGCTCCGTGGTGTGGCGGGAAGGGGCGAGGAGTCGCATTATTTCGTATTTTCCGCCGCACGGTGCAGGCGCGTCCTGACCTGTGCGTGTCCGTCCCCAAACGCCCCCAGGACCTGCGGGCTGTCCGTGGGCCTCTGGTGCCTGTTTGGGGCCCTGAGCTCAGCGCTGGAGACGAGGAACGCCAGGCCCAACATCGTGCTGCTGATGGCGGACGACCTCGGGGTGGGCGACGTCTGCCGCTACGGCAACGACACGGTCAGGTAAGCCGCCGGGTCCCTGGGCTCCCAGGCTCCCCTGTGCTTCGGGGCTCTCAGGACGGGCTTCTCTGGAAAGTTCACATCCTCTGGGTCTTATCACGTACGACTGAGGTGCAAAGATGCCACGTCCCGTCCAAGGGCCAGCGCGACAGAGCGCATCCCGTGTGACCTTCAATGACACACCTTGACCTTGTTTGCCCTTGCAATGTGGGTCACGGACTAGGCTGTGTTTTAAGCATCGTTTTGGTCAGACGACAGACATCACTTGTGATTCGTTGTTTTTTGTAAATTTTTTGAATGTTTATTTTTGAGAGAGAGAGACAGACAGCGTGAGCGGGGGAGGGGCAGAGAGCGAGGGAGACGCAGAATCTGAAGCAGCTCCAGGCTCCGAGCTGTCAGCGCAGAGCCCGACGCGGGGCTCGAACTCACAACGTGTGAGACTATGATGAGCCGAAGTCGGACGTTCAACCGACTGACTTCCCGGGAGCCCCTGGTTCTTGTCACCATCATCCACGTTGTACACAGATGGCCCCAGACCCTGACCCTGAGACTCTCTGGACTGGGGGCAGACTTAATACCGGGGACGTGCTTTACTCACGGGACAGCCTGTAGCCTCCGATCGTCCCCCCCAAATTTTTGCAGACCTTGAAATATCAGACAAACGAGGTAGGCAATAAACGACGCCCCAAAACGTCACGATTTGGTTATTTTTTTAAAGCTGCCTTTTACTGGAAGAAATACGGCACAATTTTGTGTAACCCAAGGTACCCCTTCATTTCGGGAATATGATGTAAGCAAATGGAGTCCGTTTCGCACAGAAGCGCGAACCCGCTCCGAGCGGTAGTAGTCGAATTGTACCCGTGGTTGTTTCCGTTCTGAGCTCGACGCAACCCAGCAGGTGACGGACGGACGGTTAGGAAGCACGCGTTTCGTCAGGTTTAGGGGAAACAGCCAGGGGGACGGAGGGGAGAACGGGTGGCTTTGAAGTTTCTGAGCTTTGCTGAGAGTTAGCAGCACAGGAGCCGAGCTTCTCTCCGTCCGCAGCACCCCGAACGTCGACCGCCTGGCGAGTGAGGGCGTGAGGCTCACCCAGCACCTGGCAGCGGCGTCTGTGTGCACCCCGAGCAGGGCTGCCTTCCTGACCGGCCGGTGCCCCATCAGAGCGGGTGAGGGGGCCCAGCAGTCGTAGCTTTCTCTCCTGCTTCCTTCTCGTTGGTTTGTCGTTTTACTCCTTGTCATGAGATGGGATGGGATTAAGAATCTAAACGCGGGGCGCCCGGGGGGCTCCGTGGGTTGGGCGTCCGACTTCGGCTCAGGTCATGATCTCACGGTTCGTGGGTTCGAGCCCCGCGTCGGGCTCTGTGCTGACAGCTCGGAGCCTGGAGCCTGTTTCGGTCTGTGTCTCCCTCTCTCTCTGACCCTCCCCTGCTCACGCTGTCTCTCTCTGTCTCTCTCAGAAATAAATAAAACCTTATAAAAAGATTGTAAATGCAAACAGGGCTCAGGTTGCTAAGCAGGTGAGTGTCTTCCAGGTGCAGTGAAGGTGCCCACGTGTGATGTACGGGGACAGGGTTGGGGGAGTCATGTCCCGGGTCCTGGTACTATTTGCAGGTGTTTGCAGGGAGGGTTTTCAGAATGTTGCCCTTGGGGCGCCCGGGTGGCTTAGTCGGTTGAGCGTCCGACTTTCGCTCAGGTCACGATCTCGCGGTTCGTGGGTTCGAGCCCCGCGTCGGGCTCTGTGCTGACTGCCGGCTCGGAGCCTGGAGCCTGTTTCAGTCTGTGTCTCCCTCTCTCTCTGACCCTCCCCTGCTCACTCTCTGTCTCTCAGAAATAAAATAAAACATTAAAAAGTGTTAGAAAGAAAGATGACATCAAAGTTGAGAATCGAGGTCCAACGACATCACCCAGAGTCACAGGCAGTGACATTGGAACCTCGGATAATCAGCCCAGATACGCCCCACGCAGCCTTTGGGGCACGTGTGTACTGAGCCCCCGGGCTTTGCCGTGAGCGCCCTGACGCGGACTGCAGAGCTCACCTGCTCCCTGCTTCTCTGCACGTAGGCATGGCGTCTCCCTTCAACCTGAATCGAGCCCTCACCTGGCTCGGAGGCTCGGGCGGCCTGCCCACCAACGAAACCACGGTCGGCAAGCTGCTGCAGCATCGCGGCTATCGCACGGGACTCATAGGTACGGGCTGTGGGGGCGCCGGGCACCGGGCTCAGCCCCCCGGGGGACACACCAGCCCACTTCTGCGTTGCACGACCCATGCGAGGAAGGGGCTGAATGCACGGTCGCTCAGGACCTTTCCGGAATCTAGCGCAGGGCATTGGGGGATCATGGTCGGGAGTAGCACTTGAGCTCATCGATTCTTATCACCAAAATGGGATGTTTTGTGTGGGTTTTTTTTGGGGGGGGGTGGAGTGGATGCTGTTTTTGTGACATGACTAGCAGGGAGGTGAGTGTCTTTTAATTTTTATTTTAGTTCACGAATTTATTTTGAGAGGGAGAGAGAGAATGGGGAAGGAACACAGGAGAGAGAGAGAATCCCAAGCGGGCTGTCAGCGCAGAGCCCAGCGCGGGGCTCGAAGTCACAAACCGTGAGCTCAGGACCCGAGCCGCAAGCAAGTCAGACGCTTAAGCGACTGAGCCCCCCAGACGCCCCGAGAGCGGGCATTTTTAGATACGTCTAGTTCAACCAAAAGCATGAATAGTGATCCAGTTAGTACATTTGGGTGTCCCTCCCGGAGGGCCCAGTGGAGCACGGCTTGCGGGGCGAGCGGCCCCCGTTCTGGAAGCGGATGGGGTCCCGGCGGCCTGTGTCCCCCGCAGGAAAGTGGCACCTGGGGGTGAGCTGCGCGTCTCGGGACGACCACTGCTACCACCCGCTCAACCACGGCTTCGACTACTTCTACGGGCCGCCCTTCGGGCTGCTGGGCGACTGCGAGGCGTCCGGGACCGCCGAGCTGCACCGTGGGCTGCGTGTCAAGCTGTGGGTGTCCAGGGCGGCCCTGGGCCTCCTGCCCACGCTGCTGCTCCTCCCCAAGCTCGCCCGCTGGCTCTCCGTGCCGTGGAAGGTCATCGCGGCCTTCGCCCTCCTCGCCTTCCTCTTCTTCGTGGGCTGGTATCCCAGCTACGGCTTCACGCGGCGCTGGAACTGCATCCTCATGAGGAACCACGACATCGTCCAGCAGCCGATGCGGGAGGGGCGGGTGGCCTCGCTCATGCTCAAGGAGGCCGTCGCCTTCATCGACAGGTACGGCCACGGCGGCCGGGCTTGCTGCCGGGGTCTTGGTAGGCGAGGCGGGAGCTTGGGCTGCTCTGGGTGACACCAGTCTCTGTGTGTGCGTGTCTGACATTTGCAACAGGCTGCGGAGTCTGTTTCGGATAAAATTGGGGGGTGCCCGGGTGGCTCGGTGCGACCAGCTACTTGCAACAGGCTGCAGTCTCTGTTTCGGATAAAATTGGGGGGCGCCCGGGTGGCTCGGTGCGACCAGCTATTTGCAACAAGCTGCGGTGTCTGTTTCGGATAAAATTGGGGGGCGCCCGGGTGGCTCGATCCGACCAGCTATTTGCAACAGGCTGCAGTCTCTGCTTCGGATAAAATTGGGGGGCGCCCGGGTGGCTCGGTCCGACCAGCTCAGGTCATGATGTCACGGTTCGTGACTCTGAGCCTCACGTCGGGCTCTGTGCTGACAGCTCAGAGCCTGATTCTGTGTGTGTCTCTCTCTCTCTGACCCTCCCCTGTTCTCAAAATAAATAAACGTAAAAACATTTTAAAAATAATAATAAAACAGAGAGTTAAGTTTCCTGCAAATTTTAAACACGGAAACGGCCACGAAATATATTCTGCTCGCTGTTTCTTGGTGCAAAGTGGAAGGAAGGGGCTTTGATCCCCGTGGCTCCACTACGCATTGGTGCCTAAATGCATTCGCGCTTTCGATGCCTCCTGATGTGGCTTCGCCTCAGAAACAGCCTGGAAATACCCCCGTGCCCTTGAACGAAGGGGGGGTGGTTCTGCCTCCAGATGCCTCGTCTGAGGTTTTCTATGTTCGACACAAGCCACGCGGGCGGGAAGCCAGCGGTGTCCCTGTAGACGAGTGATTAGGAGCAGGTGAAGTTCTGGGTGTCGATGCTCGAAGGCCGGGTCTCGGTGGGGGAGGGGGGGACTGGATGGGAGACGAGACGGTGGAACCCTGGGGGTTAACGAGTCTGACTACGGAGCCTCATTCACTCATACGCCCCCGTGACCGCCACGTGCATACTTTGCGCGAACACAGAGGTCAGAGTGGACTCAGCCAGCCCCGCGTTCGGCTCCCAAAGGCTGTGTCTGAGAGAACGCACCCAGTGTCTATGCCCTCCGCCCTTCGTCATGCCCCGTTGTAAGAGTATGTGAAGGAGGAATTTATTTTATTTTATTATCGTTATTTTTTAAATAGTTTATTGTCAAGTTGGTTTCCATATAACACCCAGTGCTCATCCCCACAAGTGCCCTGAATGAGGAATCTTAAATAACCTCACACGACGTTTAAATGGAGGACACAAGGGGCGCCTGGGTGGCTGAGTCGGTTGAGCGTCCGACTTCGGCTCAGGTCATGACCTCACAGTTCGTGGGTTCGAGCCCCGCGTCGGGCTCTGTGCTGACAGCTCAGAGCCTGGAGCCTGTTTCAGTCTGTGACTCCCTCTCTCTCTGACCCTCCCCTGCTCACGCTGTCTCTCTCTCTCTCTCTCTCCTAGAAATAAATAAAAAACATTAAAAAGAAATAAGATGGAGAACACAAGCAACAACATGAATTCGTGTCCAAACTGCTTCTCTCTTGCTACCTGTGATTCTGAACAAGCAGCCTCACGGCCCAAAGTTGATGCCAAAGCTCCAGCCATCACATTTATGTTCCAGACAGCAATTGAGGAGAAAAAGAGGGGGTGGGTAGGAGGAGGGAGTGAAGAACTCTGTCTTCAGAAGATAGAATTCACTCACTGTTTTGTTGCGAATGCGAACGTTTCCATATTCTTTATTCGTACTCACGGTCTTTGCACCGTGATTTTGTTACTCATGAGCGTGGCATCGATCAGCTAAGCACAGAGACAACCTCTCTCCACTGTTGCAGGGCCTTTCACCCAGTGCAGAATCAGATCCCAGCGAAGGAAACGCCTTTGTGTGCGGCGGGAACTGACCTCACCTTCCGCCCCTCAGGTACAAACGCGGCCCCTTCCTGCTCTCCGTGTCCTTCCTGCACGTTCACACCCTGCTGATCACCAAAGAGAAGTTTCTGGGGCACAGTAAATACGGCCTCTATGGAGACAATGTTGAGGAAATGGACTGGATGGTGGGTAAGTACTGAGGAACCCAGTGTTAAGCACCTGATGCACGGGCGGGAGAGGTGCCTCCTGCCTCCTCAAATAGCGGTCGGGCCCTTGCACCGTAAGTGTGTGTAAGTGTGTGTGCCCCCTGACACCGGTAAGTGTGAGTCCCATGAACCCAATGAGGAACTGGCGGTCGGGGCCGCGCAGTCACTGACAATTCCCCCGAGAAAGCAGTCACGCTTACGAATGTGGGGTCGTCTTCTTTAAGATGAGGAGACAATTAGTAAAGTTACCAAAGGGTGCTGTCCTTCCCCATTATTTTGACGGATATTGAAGGAAACGTGTTATGGTCGTGGGTTCGAGCCCCGCGTCGGGCTCTGTGCTGACAGCTCGGAGCCTGGAGCTGCTTCGGATTCTGTGTCTCCCTCTCTCTCTGACCCTCCCCCGCTCACGCTCTGTCTCTCTAAATAAATAAATTAAAAAAAAATAAACGTTAAAAGATAAAAAAATAAAAAGGACATGTGTTATTGCTATTAGTTCATCTCACGAGAAACGCTTAGAAATGTAGGAGGGATTTTTTTCTAGGATGAAGCCATTTGTTTCAAAGCCGCAAGGATCAATGTAGAAAATAAGACAAAGGGTAATAAATGAGAGCGCTGCTGAGCAGGGAGGTGGGGGGAAGCTTCTCCGTAAAATAACAAACTGCACATTTTCTTCCACTGGGCGCACGACGGAGCATCTCTTCATCTCAAAAAGGGTATTTTAGTTTCGAATTTTTGTTTATGTGTATTTTTGAGACAGCGTGAGCAGGGGAGGGTCAGAGAGAGAGGGAGACGCAGAATCCGAAGCAGCTCCAGGCTCTGAGCCGTCAGCACCGAGCCCGACGCGGGGCTCGAACCCTCGAACCGTGAGATCGTGACCTGAGCTGAGGTCGGATGCTTAACCATTTAATTTACATTTAATACCTGTTGAATAGGTATTTAATATCTATTAATTTCATATTTCATGTATTCAATATTCATTAATAGTAAATTATATGTTTAATTTAATACCTAGTAATGTATTTGATATATATTAATATCTAATATCTATTAATATTCATTTGTATTTACTATCTATTGATTTTAATTTAACACACATTTAATATCTATTAATATACATTTATGTAATATTGATTAAATTAAGATATAATTAACTTAAGTATTCAATATCTAGTATCTTGTTAAGACTTATTATCTATTTATATATGTATTTAAGATCTATTAACAGTAATAGATTTAATGTATTTAATATCTATTAATGTTAAATCAATTAAGTATATAATTACGTTAATATTATGAATCTATCCATGCAAGCTAAACATTCATGTTCCTATGTGTACGCATATACTATTTATATGTGTCTGTGCGCATATTAAAATATATGCGGTCTTTTTAGAATTTCCTGGCAGATGAACAGGTTGAAACCTACTGCAAATTGCTCCAAGTAAAACCACCTAACGTTAACTTTAACGTCAGCCTAACCTCCTAACCTTAGTGTCAGTTGCAACATTATGTTTTCTCTCCTTGGCGTTTCCTATGCTCGGAGATAATCTCCTCTGCAAAGGAGGTATTTTGTTGCATTTCTAAATCCACGAACAGTTACGCAAAGGGACTTTCTGTCCGTGTTCCTTTGCAGAGTTTGCTACTAACACATAATTATGTTTATTCTGTCATCAAAGCGACTCCAGGATACAGGTGCCTTGTAAACACTATTAATTACATTTAATCCCGGGGCTAATCCTGTCTGTGAAGCTGGGAGAATTTCCCCGAACAACATCTGCCAAAGGCTCTGTGGCTTAAATAAATTTTTTAATGTTTATTTTTGAGAGGGAGAGAGAGCAGGGGAGGCTCAGAGGGAGGGAGGGAGACACAATCCGAAGCAGCTCCAGGCTCTGAGCTGTCGGCACAGAGCGCGACGCGGGGCTCGAACCGACGAACCGTGAGATCACGACCTGAGCCGAAGTCGGACGCTCAACCGACCGAGCCTCCAGGCGCCCCTCCCTTCATGGCTTTTGAAAAACATCAAAATGAAAAGCAGATCAAAAATCAGAGAGGCGTCGTGTGTGTGTGTGTGTGTATGTGTGTGTGTGTGTTTATTTTCTACTGGGCAATGTGATGATACAACTTACGATCTTTTCCTAAGTTATTAACTCTCTCAGGAAGAAGCCATAACAACGTTACAGTCAGAGTGACCTGCAAAGTGAGTGAATTTCCTGAAACGTCCAGGGGGCAGTAACATTTTAGATGCTCTATTGAAGCACACGTGAGTTTAAAAAAATTTTTAGACACTTTATTTTTGCCACCTTTCCCTATTTTTGTCACATGTTTATGATTATTGTCTCTGTACACACGCACGTACTCACACATCTATACGTTTTGTACCTTGCAAACACATAGGCCTACATATATATGTATTGTACAATATACATATATAGTACATACATATATATGTACAATATACATATATTACAAATATATATATATATATATTTCCAAAAAAATCAAAACGATTCGCATCGGTGTCATTTACTTTGTATACCTTACGAATCCCCTTTATTGTAAACACGAAAGCCAGCTCCACTGACAACGGAGAACGTACATAAAATTTTCCTTTTACCCCAAAGCCACTATAATCTTGATCTCGCAAAATCTGGGCTTTCAACTATGTTGATTTCTCGCCAGAACATTTAAAAAAAAGAAATGGCCAGTGTGGCTTCGGAAAAAACCCCGCTTTTCAACAGTGAAACGTGAAGGTTCACGAGGTTATGTTTAACGAGTTTTCTTCGCAGCTAGTCACATGATCTTTACACGTTTGAGGAGAACAGGGGGAAGGGGGTGCTCTTAGACGGTGGGACCTCGAGTGACCTAAAGAAGCCCGGGGCTAATGTCCGCCTGGGATCAGAAATTCACTCGACATCCTTTGGCTTGTGGCTGGATCAGCTTTCGACTTGTTTCAAAAACACGTTCATCCTGCTAAGGGTGTGTCGACACTTACACACCGTGGTTGCCAAGTCTGGCAAAGTATTAAGAGGGAGGCTTAACCAGAAACTGAGCAGAATGACTAGCAGGTCAGATGCGGCCTTCAGAGGGTCGTGGGGATAGTGCATCCCGTGGGGGCCGGGGGGCCCGCGGCTCTCGTGAGCAAGGGTCCGACGGGGCTTATTTATTCCTGCAGACGTCAGATTTTCATCTGGTTCCTCTGTCGTGTGAGCGCCTGCAAGATTCTTTTAACTGCCAAACCTGGTATTTATTGCCGATTAAAATCTTTGCTGCGGCTGTTTGAATCTGGAGCGACGATAGTATTGTAGTACTACATACTAGTTCATACTTCCTAATACATCATAGGTGTATATGTATTTATATAATATCATGTGCGTGTATGTATTATTACATAATTTCTAAAATAAATATACTTTCCTGTATATTAGATAAAACATGTTTCTTACATGTATTATACATTATATAGTATACTTCTTATATTATATGTTATATTTAATATATTATATAGTATGCTGAGTGTATGTTATGTAAAATATTTGTGCTAAATGATACACTAAATGTTATTTAATGAAATTACATATTATAGAAAATATTATCCACCAGTATTATATAAGTAACCATTATACACTACTCTGATATAATATGTAATTATCAAACATTATACAATAATTTAATAGATTATATTTACATCATTATATTAAATATTTTATAGTATTTAAATATATTTTAAATCAAAACTTTATAATTATAAATATTTCATCTTATTTATATGTCATATATTATATACCATTGTGTGAAATTTATAATATAAAAAGCATATATATGGGGCGCCTGGGTGGCTTAGTCGGTTAAGCGTCTGACTTTCGCTTAGGTCATGATCTCGCGGTTCGTGGGTTCGAGCCCCGCGTCGGGCTCTGTGCTGACTGCCAGCTCGGAGCCTGGAGCCTGTTTCAGTCTGTGACTCCCTCTCTCTNGTCTAGGGGCGCCTGGGTGGCTTAGTCGGTTGAGCGTCCGACTTTCGCTTAGGTCATGATCTCGCGGTTCGTGGGTTCGAGCCCCGCGTCGGGCTCTGTGTTGTCTGCCAGCTCTGAGCCTGGAGCCTGTTTCAGTCTGTGACTCCCTCTCTCTCTGACCCTCCCCTGCTCACGCTGTCTCTCTCTCTCCTGGAAATAAATAAAACATTAAAAAAAAAAATTAAAAAAAAAAGCATATATGATTATAATACATAAATTATGCTTTAATATTTTTACATACAGATAATATGTTTATCATATATTATAGTATATGTTAAGTATTATAATTTATTATGATTTAAAACATAATATATGAAACATCTTTTATATTTATTAAATATATTTATTATATGTAATAAATTATTTATATTATATACTAATTATTTATTATCTATTTATAGTGAATATATGCTTATGTACACATATAACATATTATATATAATGCCAAATATATAATAAGTAATTATAAATATAAATTATGTTATATAACATCATATATATGGTAAAATACATAGTAAATAATTATAAATGTAAATAAAGTCCAGCGTTATATTATATACTACTTAACATATATATAAATTCTATGCCATATAATATATATTGATGTATCTGCTATTAGTACACACGTATACTAATATACTATATTAGTATATACTATATATATATTTATAATATGTATATATTAGTACTATATACTAATTATAGGTAGTACACATGTATACTAATATACTATATCAGTATTATCTACTATCTACTAATATACTATATTAGTACTATATATTAATTATAGGTAGTACGTATGCATACTAATATACTATATCAGTATTATCTATTGTCTACTAATATACTATGTTAGTACTATATACTAATTATAGGTAGTACACATGTATTAGAGTATATAATAGTGATTTATTACATATTATGATAGCCTGTACAATAAAATGCTGTCCCACTAACCGGTGGGGACAGTAACATGGAAATGAGAGCCGCCACCCTGCGAGGTAAGCGCTTCTGTCTCCACCCGCACGCACCAGGTCGGATCCTGGAGGCCCTGGACCGGGGGCGCCTGGCCAATCACACGCTGGTGTACTTCACCTCGGACAACGGGGGTCGCCTGGAGGTGCAGGAAGGCGGGGCCCGGCTGGGCGGCTCCAACGGCATCTACAAAGGTGAAGTGCAGGGAATCCATGCGTTTCAGTTTCATGCCCCAGTTGCGTCTGCTTCGCTTTGTGTGCGCGTGCGTTCGTGTGCAGACTCGGTTTGGAGATCTTTGTGTGAGTTACAGTCTCTTCTGAAACTAGATGGGAAAAGGGGCACGTTTGGGGGCAATTTCTGAGCATTGAAGACAAAAGTGCTTGAAGCAATGAAAGCCTCTTGAGTGCACATAGGGTCTCAGTGAGCACTGAAGGCAGGTCTCTCATGCTTGCAGTCCGGGCATTGGGAGCTGGGTGACGCTCTGGGGTGGGGCGTGCTGGGCGCCGTAGGGTGTTGAACAGGGTCTCTGGTTCCACCCAGCACGTGCCAGCGGCCCTTAACACCCCCTCCCCAGCAAAATACTGACAACCAAACCGTCTCCAGACATTGCCCAGTCCCCCCCGGGGCCAAAGTCCTCTCTAGCTGCGAACGGGTTACTCTAGAATAATACTTGAGTGCCCAAATTCAGGCTTTTGATGAGATAAACTCAACAGTGTTATCAATATGCTTCAAACACTGTGAAACAAAGAGGAAAGGAATTAATCATCTAGGCTGGGTGCCTTCCTCCGCATTGCGAGTGAATTCTGCACGTCTTTGTGCTCCACCCCGGATTATTCACTAGCTCTCCGGAGCCGCCCTTACGGATCTGCAAAGCGGCGCCAACAGAAATAATAGTTTAACAATGAATTTGGTGTTTGATACCCACTCCTACCCCTCCGAACCCCAATCAAAAAGAGTGAAAGTGTGTCCAAGTTGTCATCAGTACAAAAATCAGAACTTTAGGATTTCCTTGTACTTTATGAAACAATTTGGGATAGATGGGTAGATGATTGACAGATAGGTGGAGAGATACGTGGATGGATGGATAGATACATGATAGATAAACGGAATGATGGGTGGATGGGTGGATGAATGAATGGATGGATGGGTGAATGGAAAGACATGATACACAATAGGGAAATACATGATAGATCGATTGGTCAGTCTATAGATAGATAGATACATAGATAGATAGATACATAGATGCATAGGTTGGTGGGTGGGTAGATGTATAGACAGTTATATATGATTGATGTTAGGTCAATAGAATTGATAGATAGTAGATAGAAGACAGATATGCTGGATACATTTATGCACTGTGATTGGAAGTAATGTCCTGAAAGTATTCACCTTTTCTGGCAGGCCACATCAGCCTCCTGTAGGCATATTGCTGATTAGCATAGACTCAATTATTTCCAGTCCTGGAAAAAAGTTGTGTAATAAAAGTAAGTCACTCTATCTATGCCGTCAAATGAGATATCTCTGTTAGGTTATAGTCACGTTTTGTGTCTGTATGTGTGTGTGTGTGTGTGTGTGTGTGCATGCGCACGCACGCGCGCGTGTGGTGGGGGCTGGGTGTGGATAAAACCATCCTTCTGGAAAGCAACTATCTATCTATCCATGTCTCTGGTACCTGTCAAAGACACATGGCGGAATTGTTGACCGATTTTAGCTTTGGAACCAGTATGCAGCTCATCAGGAGGGGCTGAGTCCATTGGACAGGCCAAGTTGGGTGTCCTAGGTAGACGATTAATTTCAAGGTAGGTGCCTAACACAGCCTCCGGCCATTAAATACGACCATGAAAATGTCAGGGTGGCTTTATGTTTGCTTTTTTGTTTGTTCTTTATCTATATATAAAACAAACATCAGTTCAGAGAGCTTGTTAAGTTTTCTATAAAGAATGATGCTGTGCACTGGGGGGGGGGGGGGGGCAGGACTTTGGACACGGGCCAGATCAGTGTCTTTGTCCCTAAATGTTTTGCCGTTTAATGTTTCCATGTAGAGAGACACTGTGTTGTGTTTTCTTAGTAATTTGTAGTGTGAGAGTGACCTGCACAGACAAGGTGTTCCATGAACATTACATGTTTGTTCTACTTTGGAAGAATTTCCTTCCTCCCCACCCAGATCATATCTCTATTCTGCAATGAACACTTTGACCTCAGGAGAGGTCCTCAGACATGGACTTCATCTATTTTGTGTTCAGAAACACCTGAAATGTCCTCTGAGATGTGATCCTCAATACTTGATCCGTCGGGGCACCATTCAACTAGGCATGTGAATATCCCCCTGGGCCTCCCTTCATACGAGGGGAATCCCTGCATAAACTCAAAATTCCTTAGTATCTCTCTCAAGGATCACGATAGCTCACGTAGGACCCGTGTCTCTGGTGTCGCTTTGACCTTCGTTGACCTGTCCACCTTTCAGAGCCCAAAGCGACGCCCATAAACACTGACGATTTGCCAACTTACAGAATGCTCTTTTTTCTCATAATATTGAAACTCCATGGCAATCATTGTCACAAAATAATAGTGCTGGATTCATACAGCGCTTGCTTTTATCTATCACAGCTGGGTTTGTCGCTGAAGGGCCGGGCATTTACAAGTCGAGTTTAAGCTGCTTGGTGGGGCAAGAATTTGGCAAACGTCGAGATGTAGTTTCCAACTGAGTGGAGAAACGTGGTTGACTCGAATTCGTCTTTGGCCTTAGGTGGCAGAGGAATGGGCGGATGGGAAGGGGGCATTCGTGTCCCAGGAATATTCCGGTGGCCTACGGTCCTGGAGGCAGGGAAAGTGATCGACGAACCGACGAGCCTGATGGACATTTATCCGACACTGTCTTACGTAGGTGGAGGGATTTTGCCCCAGGACAGGTATGGAAACAGTGGTTGCTCTTAACCTCGGCAGGTATATTTGACAGGCACTTGGATGTGTTAGAAAATGTGCATGTGGAGTATATTACTTAATCTTCAATATTCCGCTAAGATGGCCAGACAACATTTCTCTCCCGTCAGTGGGTGGTGGGTGGGGGGATGTTTCCCGATTAGAACACGTTCTACTTTGTCTGTCATACGTATGCAGACATGGGCTTGGCTGTCCTCAAGGGTGGGGTCGACCCTCGTTCACTTTGACATCATCTAGACCATTAAGCAAATATTTATTAGGTGAAGGACCGAATTCAAGTGCGTTGGCATCAATGTATGAATGATGCCGTATTTATCTCCGGGCTGTAAGATGAATAGATGTGCTCCATGCTCTAGTGGCTTAATTCCGTGTGTGGGGACTGGTATCTCTTCACCTGCGGTGGGGATGCTCTTGACCCAAATGAGGGTCAAGAGCTCATTCTTCTAATCCATGACGCTCATTCGTGGCATCTTACGAGTATCAGAGTAATACCTCCAGCCGCTCATCTCTCTGCTGTCTTAGAAATTGTGTGAGATTTACTTCTTTTTCTTTTGTTGTTGTTGTTACTCGTATATAATGAGTGAAGATGTGTGGTGAGTTTTAAAGTCCTTTCTCCTTCTTCTTCTCCTTCTTCCTTCTTTCTTCTTCTTCTTCTTTCTTCTTCTTCTTCTTTCTTCTTCTTCTTCTTTCTTCTTTCTTCTTCTTCTTCTTCTTCCTCTTCCTTCTTCCTTCTTCCTTCTTCCTTCTTCTTCTTCTTCTTCTTCTTCTTCTTCTTCTTCTTCTTCTTCTTCTTCTTCTTCTTCCTTCTTTCTTCTCCTTCTCCTTCTTCTTCTCCTTCTCCTTCTTCTTCCTCTTCTTCTTCTCCTTCCTCTTCTTCTTCCTCTTCTTCTTCTTCTTCTTCTTCTTCTTCTTCTTCTTTCTTCTTCTTCCTCTTCCTCTTCTTCTTCCCCTTCTTCTTCCCCTTCTTCTTCTTCTTCTTCTTCTTCTTCTTCTTCTTCTTCTTCTTCTTCTTCTTCTTCTTCCTTCTTCTTCTTCTTCTTCTTTTCTTCTTTTTCTTCTTCTTCTTCTTCCTCTTCCTCTTCCTCTTCCTCCTCTTCTTCTTCTTCTTCTTTTTCTTCTTCTTTCTCCTCCTCCTCCTCCTCTTCTTCTTCTTCTTCTTCTTCCTCTTCCTCCTCTTCTTCTTCTTCCTATTCTTCTTCTTCTTCTTCTTCAGTGTCTTCTTCCTCCCGTTCCCCTTCTGCTCCTCCTCTCGTCATAAGATGTGTGACCAAGCCATGCCTCTCTCACCGCATTCTGCATTTCTCCTTCTCTCTGAAGAGTGACTGACGGCCGGAACCTAATGCCCTTGCTGGAAGGCAGGGTGTCCCACTCGGACCATGAGTTCCTCTTCCACTACTGTGGGGTCTACCTGCACACAGCCAGGTGGCATCAGAAGGACTGTAAGTATGGAGATGGCAGGCCCGTGGGGACACAATGAGAACTGAGCCCTGTTTCCTTTGTCTCTTGGGGGAAGTTGCACCATGTACAAGTAGCTCCCAGATGCCTGTGGTTCTTTCTTCCTTAGGGAAGTTAATTGTAAGCCGCCATTGTACTGCGGTAGGATTTTACGGGTGTGTCTAAGCTCGTGTACATGAATATATCCGAGACAGAGAGAGAGCATGAATGTCCACAACTAAGGACACTGAAGTGATTAGCAGCAAGGAGTAAACTCTGCACTGCGACCCACACACCATCCTGTCCCTTCCCATTAACTGTCTCGGCCTTACCTTCCAGCTAGAGGATTCATGCAAATAAATGTAAATTAACAAGAGCTATTCAAAAGCTGATAGCAAAAGTTCTACCAGAAACATTTGGATCAAGTTCCAGAAATCTTAGGTGATAGGAATTAACTTAATCTGCAGAAACTATACACATTTCCTCCCATGAGACCTGTCACTTGTGGTGTGACCATTCCTCATGTCAGTGTGGACCAATCTCCCACATAAAACAAGAACAAACTGAGAAAAACCTCTCTCCCTGGGGCGCCTGGGCGGCTGGGTCGGTTGAGCGTCCAGCTTAAGCTCAGGTCATGACCTCGCGGTTTTTGGGTTCCAGCCCCGCGTCGGGCTCTGTGCTGACAGCTCAGAGCCTGGAGCCTGTTTCAGATTCTGTGTCTCCTCCTCTCTTTGAACCTCCCCTGCTTATGTGGTCTCTCTCTCTCTCTCTCTCCCAGAAATAAATAAAACATTTTTAAAAAAATTTAAAAAAAAAATCCCTCTCTCCCTGTATAGTTAGGGACCTGTTTGATGATAAGTAACAAAAGAAAAACAACTCTCCCCGCCACAGCAAAATCTTCCTAAACGTAACGGTGGAGGGTTAAACAAATAGAATTTTACTTGTGTTTTCATAATCAGGATTTCAGAAGTCGGAAGCACAGACTTGGTACAATGCTCAAGACCATCTGGGCTCGTTTTCCATTTCCACTCAGCCACCTCATTTCATTCTCATGCTCCTTCTAACGCTGTGCTTGCAAAATGGCTGCTACTTCTCCAACCATCACGTCTGCAGTCCGTGCAGGAAGGGGAGGGAAGAACAAAGGGCCTGAGGGATTAGACTCAGATGATTTATTAGAAAAGCATATCTTTCCTGTAAAACCTCACTCACAGATTTCTATGAACGCTGTCTTGACCAGACACTGAGAAGTGCTTATAATGGAAGAAAGAAAGGAAAGAAGGAAAGGAAAAAAAAAAAAAAGGGACAGATGGATGAGGAACGGAACAAAGAATGATCGATCTTGCCAAATGAGCTCTGTCAGTTTCAGACCTGAAAGTGCTATTTAGCTTTAGAAAATTTCCCATTTTGGGGCGCCTGGGTGACTCAGTTGATTGAGAGTCCAACTCTTGATTTCGGCTCAGGTCATGATCTCAGGGTTGTGGGATCGAGCCCTACATCAGGTTCTGCACTGAGCCTGGAGCCTGTTTGAGATTCTCTCTCTCCCTCCCCCCCCCCAATTATGTTCTCTCTTTCTTTCTCAAATAAAAAGAGGAAAAAAAGAAAAAGAAAGGAAAGAGGGGTGTCTGGGTGGCTCAGTCAGCTAAGCATCCAAGTTCAGCTCAGGTCATGAACTCTCCATCTGTAAGTTCGAGCCGTGAGTCGGACTCTGTGCTGACAGCTTGGAGCCTGGAGCTGCTTCGGATTCTGTGTCTCGCTCTCTCTCTATACCTCTCCTGTGCTCATGCTCTCTCTGATTATGAAAAATGAATAAATGTTAAAAAAGTTTTTTAAGGAAAGGAAAGGAAAGAGAAAAGAAAAGAAAAGAGAAAAGAAAAGAGAAAAGAAAAAAGAAAAGAAAAGAAAAGAAAAGAAAAGAAAAGAAAAGAAAAGAAAAGAAAAGAAAAGAAAAAAGAAAACTTTCCATTTTGCTTATGGCAAGTCAGAGCAAAGTAGTGGTCAGAGTCGGAATTTCCAGGATTATAGCAGCCATCCAGGTAATAACCATTACTTCCAAATGCCCTCGTGATAAGGTAAAAACAAAAGTGTTCAACTTTGCAGCAAAGTCGTGAGCTGTTCTCACAGTTGAGGAAACGCTACAATTGCTAAGTAATTCTGTGCGCAAAATGGGCTTTGTTGGTGGAAGCGTCTGGGAAATACATTTTCAATGGAAAGCATCCTAAAATGAATACCAAGGATTCACTTCAGCAGAGCATCTGTTTCCCAGGTGCGACGGTGTGGAAGGTCCACTATGTGACTCCCAAATTCTCCCCGGAAGGAGCGGATGCCTGCTATCGAAGTGGAGTGTGTGCGTGTTCTGGTGATGTCACCTACCACGACCCCCCCCCCCACGCTCTTTGACATCTCCAGAGACCCCTCTGAGGCCCGACCGCTCAGCCCCGACAACAAAGCGCTGTTTGACTCCGTGGTCAGGAAAATCGAGGCGGCCATCAAAGAGCATCGCAGGACACTCACGCCCGTCCCCCAGCAGTTCTCTGTGTTCAACACCATTTGGAAGCCGTGGTTGCAGCCTTGCTGTGGGACTTTCCCCTTCTGCGGCTGTGACAAGGAAGACACCATCCTGTCTACCCCTTGGTGAGAGAGAGGAAAGGGGTCACCCCTTCGCAGCCACCATCACACTCTTACAGACTTCATGGGAGCTGCTCTCAGCTGACCGATTCTTTCCACTGCGATAAATATTGATGCCCCCACCGTTTTTTTAACCCTCAGATTTCAGTTCTTTCTTCAAGTCACATCCAGGAGCTCGATGAAGCCAAAGTGGATCTGAACGCCATTGGCCCTGGAGTAGAGCATTGCTTGGGTCATGTCTTTACATAATTACATCATTGTTCAAGCAAAAACGTAGCCGTACGAGACCTCCTGCAGATTTTTATGGATCTGTGGTTCGTAGAAGGTGGCGAGGAAGGGTACGTCTGCTGGCATCGTTTTTATGTAGCTGTGGTAGAAACTCCTACTTGCAGATCTTCCATCCAGACGTCTTATTTTCGTGATCAGTGTCTTCGTTTCAGCCGAAAGCAGATCAATACGTTTGTTTCAGCCTGAAGAAGACGGTGTTGGTGATGGAGGGAGGGTGCCACACTACTTTTCGCTTTTTGACTTCCCGTCTTTTCTTCTTTCCTTCTCTCCTCTTCCTCATTACAAAATGCCCGCCTGCAGGAATTGGTTGTGATTCCTGCTAACTTGGGATTGTAGAGAACGTGTTGTGTCTTGCTGTTTTCATGTGTAAATTGGGGGAAACTGGGGTCTATGGCATGAGGTAACTGTGAACATCACACGCTGAAATCACCTTGTGTGCAGTATGCACTAAGTCACTGTTATTGTTATAAATGTTGGAATTCTTGTCAGTGACAATTCACCATATTTCCCAAAGTAGAGAGCAGGAAGGGTAGAGAATGGGCCATATTTAAAATGGGGGGAAAGAGGGGTGAGAAAGTTTTTAATTGATGAAAGGTATTCATAAATCGCATTTGGACAACAATTCTAAACAGGATACACAAAAATAAATCCACACTTTGAAGAGTCATGGGAAAACTGCAGATTACAGATGACCGAGAAAAGATCTTCCAATCAATCAGATTTCCTATGAAATGTGAAGTATTAAAACAAAAGTAGATTTGCTAATGGCCCCCAAAGGAAGCTATAAGAGAATAGAAAAATCTCCTCAAACTTTGGAGAGAAAACTATCAATTCAGAGTGACACACCTGTTATTTGATAATGATGCTGACGTTTTAAAAAATACAGACAGCCATTAGTTTGGAATTTTTTGTCCCTTTATTTAACCCTGTTTTCATATATTTTGAAGCTCTCTGGTATTAGAAACCTTTAAAACAATTGTTTTCCTAATGAATCGAATCTTTGATCCCTTTGCAATTTACCTCTTTACATCTGGTAATGCTCTTTATCTTGAAGTCCAGTTAAGCTGAAATAAACAATGCCTTAATATTAAAGCTTAATTACATTAAAATTGTTTGGTATTTAAATGATGTACTTTTCCTCATCAGTTTAACCAATCTGGGGCTTTATATTTAAAGTGTTTCTAATTGTGTGCCAACTAATCTCAAGTAAAAAAATACATTAATCAAAAAAAAAAAATAAAGTGCCTCTCTTCTACACATCATATAATTGGATCTTGCTTTTTATTTTTTTAATTGCCGAGAACAAACTGAGGGTAGATGGGGTGGGGAGGAGGGGAAGGGGGTTGATGAGCACGGAGGAGGGCACTTGTGGGGATGAGCACTGGGTGTTATATGGAAAACAACTTGACAATAAACTATTTAAAAATTTAAAAAAAATTCATTCTGATTATCTCTGGTATTTTAATTGGAATGTTTTGTCCATTAACATTTAGTGTAATTATTAATATCCTTGGGTTTGAGTCTTCTAGCTCTGTTTGTGCCATCTGTTGCTACGCTTCTGTCTTCTTTGGGTTACCTGATTATTTTATTTATTTTCTATAGAATATTCTTTTGGGGGTGCCTGGGTAGCTCAGTCAGTTGAGCGTCTAATTTCAGGTCAGGTCATGGTCTCACAGTTCACAAGTTCAAGCCCTGCATCGGGCTCTGTGCTGACAGCTCGGAGCCTGGATCCTGCTTCGGAGTCTGTGTCTCCTTCTCTCTCTGCCCCTCCCTCACTCACACTCTGTCTCTCTATCTCTCTCAAAAATAAAAAGACATTAAAAACTTAGAATATTCTTTTGTCTTTGGTCTTTTTTACATTCCTCTTGGCATTTTTTAGTGATGGATCTAGAAATTATACTCTACATGTTGAGCCTATGGTCTAATGAGAGTACTTCTCATATCATTTCCCATAAAATGGAGAAACTTTACTACTCCATGTATTTATTTACCAGCCGTCCATCATTCTTTATGCCCTAAGTATTATATGTATCACAATTATGTGTGTTATGTAGCCCCCAGGCAGTATAATTATTTTCTTTAAACCAGACATATATTTTGAAGAACTTAAGAGAAAAAAGTAGTCTTCTTTGCTTAGTTCATATTGACTATTTCTCAGGTTTTTTGTATCTTTCTGGGGATTTGTGTTTTCACTGGGCATTATTACCCTTCAGACTAAAGATATGACTTTAGTATTTTGAGTGCAGGACTTCAGATGATGGGCTTTCTTGGCTTTAACTCTTTCCTTAATATCCGTCTAAAAATGTTATTCCACCTTCATTTTTGATAGGTACTTTCACAGGTTTCAGATTTATCTGTTGATTTTTCTTTTCTTTTCTTTTTAAAATTTTTATTTATGTTTGAGACACAGAGACAGAGAATGTGTGGCGGAGGGGCAGAGAGAGACAGAGGGAGACACAGAATCTGAAACAGGCTCCTGGCTCTGAGCTGTCAGCACAGAGCCCGACGTGGGGCCCCAACTCACGAACCGTGAGATCATGACCTGGGCTGAGGTTAAACGCTTAACCGACTGAGCCACACAGTTGCCCCTATTGATTTTAATTTTATTTTAGGACTTTATTTTTTTTTTAAATGTTTTTTAATTATTTCTAGGAGAGAGAGAGAGACAGCGTGAGCACGGGAGGGTCAGAGAGAGAGGGACTCACAGATTGAAACAGGCTCCAGGCTCTGAGCTGGCAGTCAGCACAGAGCCCGACGCGGGGCTCGAACTCACGAACCGCGAGGTCATGACCCAAGCGAAAGTCGGACGCTTAACCGACTAAGCCACCCAGGCGCCCCAAGTTTATTTTAGGACTTTAAACTAAAGTCCTCTGTCTCCATGTTTTTCACAAGTATTTGGCAGTCATTGGAGCTGATGTTCCTTTGGATCTCATGTATCACTTTTCATGGACTACTTTCAAGATTTTCCTTCTACATTTGGCTTTTAGCATTTTGTTTATGAGGTGCCTAGACATGTCTTTCTTCATCTTTATCCTACGTGAGTTTTTCCTGAGCTTCCTGAATCTGTAAAGTTTTGGCTTTCACAACATTTTGAAAATTTTCTCAATTATTCAAATAATGTTTCTGTCGTATTTACTCCCCCTTCTTGTCTGTGACTCCAATTTAGACTTTTTTGTATTGTTTTGTAAGATTTCATTAAAATCCTTTTTCTCCCTGATCTGAAAATTGGATCATTTCTGCTGATCTGTTTTCAAATGATTGACTCTCTCTCCTTTGTGCTGTATTTAGTTCTTAGGCACTTACAGTGTATAAGTTGTATAGTCTGATTCTAGACTTTACATGTAGTTCAGATTCGATAGTTACTATTTCTTTGCTGAGATTTACTATCTTTGTTTTTAGTACAAACTTTATTTTTCATTATCTCATTAGGCATAGGACTTCATTTTTTATTTTTTATTTTTTTCATATATATATTTTTTTTATTTATTTCTAGGAGAGATAGAGAGACAGTGTGAGCAGGGGAGGGTCAGAGAGAGAGGGAGATACAGACTATGAAATAGGCTCCAGGCTCTGAGCTGGCAGTCAGCACAGAGCCCGACGCGGGGCCCGAACCCACGAACCGCGAGATCATGACCTAAGCGAAAGTCGGACGCTCAACCGACTAAGCCACCCAGGCGCCCCTCATTAGGCATAGGACTTTAAAGTCCTTGTTTAGGTCTTCTTGGGATTGGGTTCTGTTGATAGTTTTGTTTCTTCTATTCTTGACACTGGCTCACATTCTCCTGACTGTATGTACGCTGAGTAATTTTGGACTCTGTCTTGGACATTCTGAACGTGATGCATGGGGATTCTAGTTTCTGTTACATTCATCAAAAGAGCGTTGATTTTTTTTTGTTTATTCAGGGAATTAACTTGTTTGGACTCAAATCAAAAGCTCTAGCTACAGGGTAACAGCTCAGCCACTAATCTTTTTCCAGTCTTTTCTCTTTAACTGGGCATTTTGCGTTGGCTCTGGATGTGTGTTGTTCTGACATCACACACAGATCAGGCAGCGCTTATATGCAGGGTTTACAGTGATCCCATCCAGGTTCTTTCTTTTCTTTCTGTCATGCTTGTTGGGTGCATGCTGGATGTTTTGGGCTCCACCTGCAAATCCTATCTGAGCTTTAACATCCCTGGTGAAACTGTATGCACGCTATTCTCATTTATGTTGCATTTAGTGGGGAGATTATAGCTGTGATCTCTGGGAAGACAGGTCTGTCAGGAGCTGGCTCACCCGTTCTTGAAGTAGAAGTCAGAGCAATGGTTTGGAGTCAATGGTTCTAGGGATCAGACATTGCAGTGATTCAGTCCAATGTTACATTTTCATGACTTCATTTCATGGGTGAATCCTGGAAATTTGTATGTGTTTATGAACCAATGAGAGTATGTACGTTCTTGCCCCTAAAAATCTTTGGACAAGTGTAATAACAGGATCATTTCTTGCTTAAGAGAAGTAAGTTCCCGAACCATACTGAATAAACTGAGCCCCAGGGCCAAACTTACCCCATCTCTGAGGAGAGTCACCTGCTTCTCACCTTGTAATCTCACCTAGAAAATTTAGGTAATTGTCCCTCCTCACTAAAGGTTAATAATAGGCCTCGTGAATTGACTTATGATGTAAATCACACACAACTATTATTACCATTAAAGTGACCACAGGAATTTCACATTCACTGAGTA